CTGGGACCACCTCCGTGGCCTCCTCTGGCCCCGCTCCAACAGGTCCCTGTCTGTCCTGTGCTGGCACCTGGGCCGCTTTTCGCTCCTTTTTCTCTCTCCCCTGGTACCTGGGGCAGCAGGAGCTAAAACCAGCCTGGGGGTCACTGTCCCTTCAACCAGGAAACCCTACGTCTGCTCCAAGAGGGAACCTGTTGCAAACATCAAGCATGTGCCGAGCGCGAATCCTGCGGCTCTGGCGACGTGCTGTGGCTCGTGCTGCGGAATTTTGCTGGTGAAGCAACCATGCGCTCGCAGTTCAATGGAGCAAGCTGCTTTTCAGCGTGGCTGCTCCACACTTTGGGCTCCAAGCTGTCTCCTGGGTGGTTTAATTGTTAGGGTTTTCAGCCCCTTGGACTCACTGTGCATGTGTTTAAGTGTTTGTCACCGCTTGGTAACCCCAGGGACGCGCCGAGCTTGTGATTCCCGCGTCAGGAGCAGAGCTTTGCCCAGGGAGCAACTCTGCGATGCTTTCAGGGCATCCCCTGGGTACCAGCATCCCTTGGGTACCGGCATCCCCCAGGTACCAGCATCCCCGGGTACTGGCATCCCCCAGCTACCAGCATCCCCGGGTACCGGCATCCCCCAGGTACCAGCATCCCCCGGGAACAGCCACCCATCCCCCAGCTACCAGCATCCCCCAGATACCAGCATCCCCGGGTACCGGCATCCCCCAGCTACCAGCATCCCCCAGGTACCAGCATCCCCAGGTACCAGCATCCCTTGGGTACCGGCATCCCCGAGTACCAACATCCCCTGCCCAGGGAGCGGGCACAGTTCTCGGTTGACATCTGTGCATCCCTGGGTGCTGTGAGATGCAATGGCAAAACGAGAGGAAATACTTTTCTTCCTTTTTCTAGCAATTTCTGCCACCAGCTGAGGGCGTCCCGAGACTGGGTAACAGGCACCAGCCAGAGCAGAGGGTCCAAAGGGGGGGCAGCATCGGTGCCTCTGGAGCAATAAGGGGCTGCTGGTGGGGATGGAGCCGGGTGCCAGCTCAGGCTCCCCTCCTGCCTCTGCCCCATCTCAGCACAGGTCCCTACGATGGCTGATATTTTTTTTATATATAATTAAAGCTCCACGGAGCCACGGGACCATGCCAGAGGCTTGACTGGGAGAAAAAGGGGGATTTAAAAAAAAAAAAAAAAAAAAAAACATGTTTTGAGCTCTCCTAATTTCAGAGGCAGGGGCTCACAGCTCACCTGGCAAAGCATATCCGATGGGGCTAACGTGCCCGGCCCTAGGGGACCCCAATATTCAGGCAGTGCACTCCTGTGGGCTAAGGACGAACCCTGCAGCTGATGGGAGTCCCCCCGAAAGGAGCCGTCACCTCCTCCATCCCAGACAGGAGCCACAGGCTCCATTCTCCCCAAGAGGGATAAAGTGGGGCTTGTCAAGCCCAAAATCCTGCCTAGTGCAAGGGGTCCCTGTAAGCGGGTCTGCCTCCCTACCAGCCCCCTGCCAGCCTGCCTCCCACCCGGCCTCCGGCAGTGAAACACTGCGCAGGGCATTTTACCCCTTTCCCCCCCCGCTTTTTTTTCCCCTTTTCCTTTTCCTTCCTCAGGTGCTGGGGGTGGTGGCAGCCCCAGGAAGGCCTGTCCAGCCCCACTCTCCCAGTGCATGGCTGCAAGGGCTCCCGTGGGACAGCCTGTCCCCCCATGTCCCCCCTTCCTTGCTCTGAGCTCACGTACTTACAAGCAAAGCGATTTACTCGCTGCTAGGGGCAAAGCAGCGGGGTGGACGTGGGCCCTTCCTGGCTGCAGCGATGGCTGTGATGGATGGATGCTGGTGACGGTGATGCCTCCCGGAGCCCTGGTAAACAGGGGGAGACAAGGCTGGAGCGCGAGCTGTGCAGATGCCTCCCCCTGTGAGATGCCTATTAAAGCGCTGCAGAAAGCCCCTGTGATGGCCTGGATAGCACTTTGGGGCAGGGAAGTGTGTGTGCGATGCTTAGGGGTGATGCCGCCCGAGCGACCGGCCCCAGGTCCCCAGGGGGACCCTCCCCAGCCCCCTCCCCATGCCAGGAGAGACACTGTGCCCTTTGTGCCTGCGGTGAAATGCGGGGAGCGGGCTTCTGAAAGGAGGCAAAGTCACTGCTGGGGTTTTGTTTCTCTGTGTGTGACCAGGTCCCCAGGATGGCGGCAAAGGCGAGCCTGCTAAATCCCCCCCAAAGCCTCCCAAATTAAAACTGGCGCGCACCCAACGACCTCCCAAATCTGGGCCGCTGACCTGGGCTGCCCCCGGCTCAGCGGGGCGCTAGGCTGCAGCCAGGTTCCTCTGCCCCTTATTAAAGGTTTCTCAGCAGAGGGGAGAAGAAGACCTTTATTTTCCCATCCGGTGGCCAGAAATGCTGAGTACGGGCCTTTTGGCCGGGACGCCGCGTGCCCATCGAGCTCCTCGCAAACAAGCAGTTGCCCCCGGCCGCGAGGCCAAAGGTAAATGAGCTGCTCCAGCAAACGTGCTCCCAGCGGGGGGAAAGGTCCGACGGTGGCCACGCTTCCCACGCAGGGACCCCCCCATCCTGCCTGCAGAGACCCCCGAGACACCCGCGGAGACCCACCACCAGCCATCCCAAACCCTCCCACCGCTCTATGCCACAAGCCAGGAGCTTTGCAGGGTCTTCTGGGGGCCGTGGCTGGGATTTGGTGGGTGTTCACCGAGCCCGAGAGGGTTAGAACAACAAACAGCTTTCTGCTGAGCTGGCTTGGTTCTCACCAGCTCTTCTCCCCGAGACCGAGCACTTGCTCGCGCGTCCTCTTGCCTCTAACTCGTCCTGCTCCTTGCTCTCAGCCTGCTGACCTGCTTTTATTCTTCCCCCCTCTACGCTGTCCCCTGGTTTTGGTGGCCTTAGCATTTAAGCCAGGAGAAGGACCAGCTCCAGGCTGGCCATGTCCCCTCCAGCAAGCATTTAATGTGTAACGAGGGCCCCGCTGGTCCAGCAAGGAGAGATGACAGATTAACCCAGTTTAGAGGCAAAGAGCAGCGGGTTTGCTGGTAAACTGTCCTGTTCCCGCGAGCTTCAAATGCCTTTAATGAGTTATTATTTAGTCTGCTATGGAGTTTAATGGGGGGACATTGCAGAAATGATCTGTGATTAATTAAACCGTCTTTATCTGATGTGGAAAGAGCAGCTGGACTCGCTGGGCTGGGCACTAAACTGGGACCAGCGCCGGATTCACAGCTTCGACATCGCTCCTGGCACTGCCCCATGCCCACCAGTTCCACTGGTGGTGGAACTGGGCCCTGCAGCCCAGCAGCCACTTGCACTCCAGTGGGAAAGAGCTGCCAGAAATAGGTTTTCCCATTTATTTTATGCAGCACCCCGAAGCCAGACTGTGTCCCGTTTGCCGCTGGCCCATCAGGGATGCAGCCGGCTGCATTTCAAGCCTCCTTCCCCAAACATCGAGTGCCGAGCTGGAGGCAAGCTGTGGCTGCGCTGCTCCCCGGGGTCCCCCCGGGTT